CTTCCCTAAAAACCCTAATTTTCTCCAACTCTCTAACCCAAATTCCTCTTCAAGCACTTAGGTCAATATTTTCTTCCAAAAAATCCCAATTTTCTCAATATCTGATCCAAGCTCCTCTCCAAACACTCAGATCAATAACCATATTCACGTAAACCCTAATTTCCTCTAACTCTCTAATCCGAACTCCTGTTCAGACGCTCTTGACATACCAATACCTACTTCCGGTCCGTAAATCACTGGCCCGTTCGCCTCCTCGACATCTCGATCCTCTCTAATCTGCTTTAATTTTCGATTAAGCCTCTCCGAGGAGCGCACAATTCTCAGGAATACGATGCAACGCCGTAACGCGCCTTAATTGGCTCGCAATTAATAATGCAATGTTGCGTGCACCGGTCGAGCAGCAACACACGATCCTCCGGCACGGGAATCAGCGTACACGGCTCGTTAGGGCTCGTTTACACGCGGGGGGCTAGCCTTGGATACCGATTAAAATGTTACTGGGCCGCGTTCGAGACCATGCAGCGCGTTTGTTCTCCCTTAAATCCGCGTGTAGACACGTTTAAAGGCAGCGAAGGCTCCTTTCAAGGTGTTTGATTTACGGCACTGTTCGAATTGAACGCACGAGCTGCTAAGTGCACGGAGAGGATGCTCTGGGTAGTGGTGAATGAGAGCTTGGACGCAGGTACCGGTGAATGAGAGCTCGGACCTGGTAGAGGGGAGATTAATTTATTAGAGGTGAGATTTTGTTCCATCTTTTCTTCTCGAAAGGTGAATTATCTCGCCATTTGTGTTTCTGCGCTCGTGCTCTGGTTTGATTCTTTTGCGAGGCAGGTTCATGTTGGAGGTAGTTCATGAATGTTTATGTTAATTGCTGAGATATTAATGAGGAGAAGTAGAGGAAGTTTGACAAGTTAAAATATATTACAATATATATAAGTTATATATATTTTTTTCGTGAAATTTAAGATGATGCTATACTGATATGGATGTAAAAAAGTAGAGAAAGTTATATAGGTGTAAATATAGTTTTATTTTATAACTTAATAATTTGAGAAAATGAAAGTAGTTGATATATGAATAAACAGGGAAATTAGGTAGGTTTACAATATAATAGGCAGGCTTAAAATATATTATAATATATATAGGTTATAATATATTTAAATGTACATGTTTTTCATGAAATTTAAGAAGATGATGCTATATTGATATGGATGTCGAAAAGTAGAGAAAGTTAGGAAGATTTAATTATAGTTTTATTTTATAACTTAATAATTT